GTTTTATTATTTTGCTTTGCTAATTTCACAATGTCTACAAGGTCATTAAGTGTAGATGGTTGAAAAATGGCACTTGGAGTGGCATGTATTTGTCCGTTCCAATTTTCCCATGATGTAGCTCCGGTTGGTTTTGCAGAACGAATCACAAGATTTTTATTGATGGTCACCGCGACAGATTTAAAAGCTGTCGCAATTATTAGAATCAGTAAAAATATTAAGATATGCTTCATTATATAAGTGTTCGAATAGGTGAAATTGAAAGTCATATTTTTTTGATGTTGTGGTTTCTTATTTATTGCTGGAAATGTTTATCAATAATAATCGCATGAACCATTAGAAAATTGCATCGCACATGTGCTGATCAGCGGACATTGGGCCTTATTTGATTTTTTTTTGATTGGTATGACGAATTATTAAAATGTTTTTTTGATCTAATGAGGGTCTATTCTGCACGATTCTGCAAAATTTTAATGAATATAAGCCAAACCCATTAGGTTATCTCTAACTTAATAGCCTGGACCTACCAAGACTTGATATTTGATATTGTTATTGTTACGAGTAAATGTTAAAATAAATCTTCCGCCTCAGTCTTTCAGACAATTCTATTGTCAAATAGCTTGTCCCACTATCAAAATTTTAGGCTATTAAAATTTTATGCCGCATAACGATGCTCATATGTGCACAAGAATTGCGGTTTAAAATTTTAACGCTTACCTTTTATAGTAGGTAATTTAACATACATAATGTTAATAATTGCATGGAACAACCATTTATGGAAATCTATGCGGATGATGCAGATTTGTGTTGTTCAAAGTTTATAAAGTCATGGTTACACGGAAAAACATAACTGAATTACAAAAATCTTAATATTTTTTTTAAATCCCGATTTGTAAAACTAAACATTTGCGAACGTACGTACGTACGTAGGTAAATAAATAAATAAAGTGCTTATCATTTAATGATAATTTGTGTTAAATTTTGTTGTTCAGTGCAAACATTCGGAGGCTATTTTGTTCGTACGTATGTACGTATGTGTATGAAAATCTAAATACACCTGTCGCCGAGTTCTACATACCATTTTTACTATGATGGTTTAAGATATACATATGCATTCTCTATTACATAGTTAATGCACTCCAGTTAAATTTATTGTTCGACTTAAAGGTATGTACCATAATATTCCATGGAATTTATTTAAGAGCCTCAGTCGATCTCAAATATTACACAAATGGTTTTAAATTCATTCTTTGATTGTGCATACAAGGCTTCGACCATTTTCTATAAACAGAATTTCGATGAACATTGATTGACTTGATCTATAGTTAACGCTGATCTAATGCAGGCTAATTTGAACCTAACATGGTAGTAAAATAATCCATTCTATTTTGTCTACTCAAGTTATCACCTTTAGCTGCTCTCAAATGCCTTATCTTCATTTCCAACAGTACCTGTGCCATTTTCATAGCAATATCAAGATTATGTTGTTCATAGGTATTTGCCATATTGGCCAATTTGACTCGGAAAAATTTTTCCTGATTTAATTGACAATCGACCAATGAAATTCAACGAACATTTTTTATTTGAATTTTATGACGTTGTAGATTTTGTAGTATTTAAATAAATAAAAAGTCGTCGAATTTCATTGGGTGGTTATCGAGATATCTTCGATTAAAGTTTCAAAAAATTTTAAACATAGATCAAATATAAGTATGGTAAAAATTTGATTGAAGATATCCCAACAACCATCCAATGAAATTTGGGGAACCATATAGGCAGATTTGACTCCATTCAATTTGTCACAATTTTCGATTTTATCACATACGATGATCAAAACATGACTATTGTTACGAAAATTTTGTATTCGAATTTCCTTTGTAATATTTTTTTATTGTATTAATATTCATTACTTTATTTGTTAGTACCATTGTATGGAATGGCTGTGCTTGGGTTTGAGACCATATATCTGGGTTTGAGACCACAGATCTTGGCCTGAGACCTCAGATATTGGTCTAAACCACAGATCAGCATGACGGAAGTTCTATATTATTGGACAAAAATATACACATTGAAGATCCTAAATTGTTAGATATGATTGGCTAAAAAAATTATAATACTGTGGTAGTACGTACGATCTTATCAATCAAAAAATTTTGTAGTTAAAAATCCGTCACGAATAGGGCTGTGTTTTGTTGAGTTTTGTTGTGGTCGAGTTTACGTGTGATTGAAGATTGTTGAGCAGCAGTTGAAGTTGGCTTTTGTTATATTAAAGTTTTACCGTGGCCAAGTTTCACTGTAGTCAAGCTTCAGTGGTTAAGTTTCGCCAGGTCAAGTTTCGCCGGGTTAAGTCTGTTGGTTAATTTTCGCCGTGGTCAAGGGTCTTTTGCCGTTGCCAAGGAGTTGGTTAAGTTTCTCGGACCTTTACTGGTACCAAGGGTTAGGTTTCTCCAGTCAAGTCAGTTTTTCCAAAATAAGGTTTTATAGTAAGTGTCGCATAGTTGCCGAACAGCCCTTGTACTTAGTCCGGGGCATGTTAGCTGAAGTAGGGGATAGAGAAGCAAAGCGTAATTACGAAATGTCACGTGTTACACGTGAAATCGGGGTTAATTGTGATAGCATGTAGGGCCAGATCGGGATCGGGTTAATCAGTATGGCGTGATTGATATGTGACGAGATAATTAATGCAAATTAATTATCCTTATTAATGTTAAACGTGCATTAGAATCACGATTCAATTAAAAATTCTAAAATTAGCATCGCATGAACAATGTAATAATTAGCGATTAGAATAGTTTTATTGCTTGAACAATGTGTAATTAGCGATTAGTAATAGAATTAATTGCATAAAACAATGTAGTAATCAAATAAAGAAAAGTAACAATATATAAAGGCTTCGATCGAATAAGGGAGAAGCCTAACTTTCGCTCCTGCAATTGCTTTAGTTATTCTTAGTGAATAAACTGTGACCTGTACGAATATATTGCTGGTGGTAGTATCTGGAACGATACTCCAGTCATCGCAGACCAGCCAAGTGAGTAAAGTTTATAGTAAAGACCCGCGGATACACGTAGTGTTAGTAAACTATGTGACAGTAAGTTCTATCACTATTATTTAGTGTATGTTAGTGAAAAAAAATACTTGTTTCTTTTTTTTTTTTTTTTTTAAATTGCTTATACGCTGTAAATCTTTATTAATTAATATAGAACTTATTACAATTAGATA